TATATATATATATATATATATATATATATATATATATATATATATATATATATACAGTGTTGGGTGTAATGCGTTACTGTAATTACTTATCCACGGAAAAAGTAAAGTAAGGGATTACTGTTCATTTTTAGGTAATTTAATTACAGTTACTTATAAAGTACTTGCGTTACATACTGTAAATAATTTCAACAGTTCTAAAATCAATATTGAATTTGAAATCTAAATTTACAGTCTAAAGATATAATCGAATGCAGCGTCTTTAACCCTCTGCGCGCCGGCGCGTTCTCTTTCAGTTTTTCCTGATTCACAGAGAAACCTTAAAGGGGTGGTTGACTTTTTATTTTTATAGGCTTGATTGTGTTTATGGGGTGCAGTCTAACATGTGTTAATACTTCGTTTGTTAAAAAACGCATTATTTTTCACATAATTTACCTTTATGCCACACCTCTCTGTCCCTTCTCCTCTGAACGCACTGATCATTTACTGCTTTTATGAAGCCCCTCCCTCAGAAATACATGATGGGCTCTGATTGATTAGCTGGCCCAGTGTGTTGTGATTGGCTAAACCGCCTCTAGCGTGCATCTAATCGTCCCGCCCCTCAACATAGCGGCATGTGCTCCTGTTGTATTGTAAACAATGACGTCATCTATATTGCGTTTCAATTTGAGCCCGAGTGAGACGCAGCGGATATTATTGAAGATGGTTTTATTCTGATTAAAGCTTTAATACAGTTCGGCAACCACACGCGCGTCCTATAACTATATAACTATAGTATGTGAAAATAAGTGTATTCACTGAGCTGATGATCTGAATGAGAGAGAGAGAGAGAAAACAGTTGTTTTAAATCTAAAAGGCTAAACTATTCCATGTTTATCTCAAATTGAAAGAATAAAGAGTCACATTTTTATTGTCTATGCTTTAAGGTTTATAGAGATTTTAAGATGTAGCCTAATTCACGAGTTCGCACTAACATATAATGTGATTGAGCAATTAGTAGCATATTTGGCGTGCTGTCCAGAGGGAGGGCTCCGAGCTCGCGTTAAAGCCCGAACCCAGAGAACCCACCCCCCCCAACATAATTTAGCGATTTGAATAATGAATAAAAATTACTTTTCAGACTAATTTCAGAGTAATTAGTAAAGTTTGTTGATGTGGCATTGCGTTTTCACTGTCCCACAAGATACAAATTAATATAATTAATATTGTCGTTATTTAAAATGCAGTAAATCCTTAAATATTTATTTGTCTTACATGGACCTGTAGTTATTAAATCTGCAGTGTTATTTGTAATTAAATTTTTACATTTTGAGCCAAATCTCAAAATTGTTCTGTTGTTTGACTGTCTTAAGCATGGTTCAATAAATGACAACTTTTACAAATGAAAAAGAAAAACATAAAAATGTTATATCTCTAAATAAATATCTCCGGCATAATTGTACAAGTGTCTATTTTAGTAAATGGCAATCAGTTTTTTCATCCATATATTTCTGAAAACGTAGGAATTTGATACATTTTGTCTCTGAAAATCATGTCCTCTGGTGTGACACCATATCCTGATTTTAAATCAGCCAATTCAAAATCTGCAGTGTTATTTGTAATTAAATTTTTACATTTTGAGCCAAATCTCAAAATTGTTCTGTTGTTTGACTGTCTTAAGCATGGTTCAATAAATGACAACTTTTACAAATGAAAAAGAAAAACATAAAAATGTTAATAAATATCTCCGGCATAATTGTACAAGTGTCTATTTTAGTAAATGGCAATCAGTTTTTTCATCCATATATTTCTGAAAACGTAGGAATTTGATACATTTTGTCTCTGAAAATCATGTCCTCTGGTGTGACACCATATCCTGATTTTAAATCAGCCAATTCCAGAGAATATTTTAATTAGTTGAAGGATCCCATTCATGGTCGTGTGACTGAAGCCCCCTGTCAAGCCCATGACACGTGCACATGGTCAATTTTTGTCTCAGAATTGTTCAAATATTTAACTTTTTTGGAACCGCTACAAAAGTGTTAAGTTTGTTGTCCTTTGGTGTGACACCCCTAAATTATATTTTTTAATTAAAAACTGCATGTTAAACTAAACTTATGCAAATGTTTCTTGCTAACTGCTAAAGACAAGTTAGCTTGGAATAGCAAGGTCATTAATTGACACAAAAGGCTGAAACGTCTTTTGGTGTGACAGATACTGTCACACCACAGGACAAAGATGTCACACCAGAGGACAAGATCTCTTTAAAAAGCATTTTAAATAATTAAGATTTGTTTAACTCCTTTTTATTGTTTTTTTTTTACATTTTTTAAAAATCATTTTCAGTGTTCTTAAATGTAGTAATTACATTAATTAAACTATTTTCTGATGTTTTTGCAGAAAACTTGTACTGTTATAAAGTGTCATGAAAATAAGTATAAAATGTGATACTTTCTTTTTGAAAAAGAAAGAATTGAGGGAGAGAAATTAGTGGAAAAGAGAGGACACAGAAATATAGACAAAAAATTAACAGGGATCCACCAGAAGGGAGGGGATCCTAAGAGAACGATGCAGAAAGTAAATAGAATCAAAATGATGCATTAAAAAGAGTAGCCATATAGTTTAAATAATTTGCTTGCACAGTTCAGTAAAAATGTAACTGAAGATCAGACTTCACACTACATAAACATGCATTTCTTCTTCAAAAATGGTCTTTTACAAAATAAGCATTTTTATATATGTAAATAAATATAATATAATTATTCAATTAAGATGTTAATATTCTAAAGAAATTTAGTATAGAATTTATATTTGCTTACAAAACAAATTTTGAGACATTTAAGCAGCAATCTTTAGATTAAAATATTAAGATTGTGCAAACCTAAATTTTAAAGTGTATCCAAAGTGTATTTACTAATGTTATTTGTCTGTTATTCTGATCATTACTCAATACTTGACAAAACCATAAAGAAAGTTTGTAGTGGATGGGCTGAGGAGGTGGATTTTTTGCTACTTTTCCTGTAAAATCCAATTCTGTCTTGCCCATTATATTAAATATATTGGCTATGGTGACTCCAACGCTGCTAATGAAATGCGAGCGGCTTCGGTAATGATGTGTATATCTTTATGCCGCAGTGGCGTAATGGCCTGCGTCCTGGCGATTACAGCACTCAGGGCGCCGTTTTATTCGGCCCCAGCGCCCAGTAATGTGTTTGTGCGTGGTAGGCATTCCTATACTGACTTTTAATGTGAGGGCTTTTTGTCCGGCCCGGAGATTTATTCACAGCCGTGTGTAATGTCATTTCATGTTGAAACACCCACCCTATGTTCAAATGAAAGAGGCATTGATGTTCATCTTAATCTGATATACTTTAATACCACGGCATCAAAATTACTCTACTGTAAGGGCCCGCAAGAGGAGGGAGGTGCGCTGCCATCCGAACTCGAAACAAAGACACTTTGTTTTCCACAAGGAGATTTTTTTAGTTTCTCTTTATGATTCTTTTTAAATGAAAATTTCATATCACTCAGAGCAACTGTAATCTGCAATCTGTAACTTTATGACAAGATGTAGTAATAGATTACAGTTATAAATCTTTCTTGAGAACTAATTGTCATCTTTTGCATCAACTGTACGGCAATAGTGAACATATGCATACATGTGGCTCTGCACTTTGCTTTTTGTTCTCGCTGTTTTTGCATGAGCAGTTTTTGCAGTAAAGGGGACTGAGTCATGGAGAACTTGTGCAAGGCAAAAAACGAGGGCATATCAGGAGAGAGTGAGAGAGAGTACGAATGCATACATACACACTGTCCTTTGCCCATAGTCAGGAGCAGCACAAGGTGATACTCTTTTGTGTTAGAGAGCATTTGTGCGTGTGCTTACACACGTGCGTGCATTGGCTGTGTGCTTTTTCCTCTTTTGAAGACAACAAAATCAGCCCTGGGCATTTGATAAATTAAGATATCCATTTGAATACATTTTGTGTATTTTTTCCCCAGTTATTTTTCTCTGTCTGTGATCAGATGTATCCTGAGTTCCACACATGCTACATGGAAAATAAATCTGCTGTCTATTCATTTCAAACAAGCCTCAGAATCTAATATAGTGAAATAATAATTCAACTTTTTCCGTTTTTTTTTTTTTTTGTCTTTCAGGATTTGCGTAAACAGATAGCTCCTTTGTTGAAGGGCTTCCAAGCAGAGGTGAGTCACCTTCCTAAATGGTTTACTTGTATTTATTGTCTTAAACTGTGGCAATGTGTGTCATTTTTTTATACTTAATTTTTCCCCAGAACAGCTATTTGTGTGTTGTTTCCCTTGAAAACTGTAAACACTGTGGCTCTGAGGTGCTATGAAAACATTTTTCTGTTTGTTTGTGCACCTCAATCTGCCCAACAACAGCAGCATTGGCTGAACCAATGGTGTGAGTTTAGGGGTGGGACTATTTGTTTGACCAACCAATTGCAAATGGGGGGGGGAGTGTTCAGGGAAACCTGTTTGAAAAGGGTATGATTTTTGCAGTTCCATCTGGTGATGGTAGTGGTGTAGAAAACAGATCTTAGAAAATGTTTTAGAATGTATCTAATTTTTATTTATTTATTTTTTAGAAAACCATTTGAAGCCAGAAAACAATACATGGACCTGACCCTATATTTTAAAATCAATAATTTGCCTTGGGCTTTGAGTTTTTGTACAATTAATAATTAATTCCCAAAACATGATGAAGACAAGACACACTTGCTGTATAACTGGTTTGCATTAGACTATTGTATGGTGGAATATTGGAATATCGAGGGGAAAAAATTTTGAATTTTATTTTGCCCTAGAATTTTTTCCCAAAATATTTTATTTGATACAAAGATTGTATTACAGTACTGTGTAAAAAAAGAATTGCAATGCTGAAAAGCATTTTCAGTGACAATGTTGGGATTTGAGTGTTCAGGGAAACCTGTTTGAAAAGGGTATGATTTTTGCAGTTCCATCTGGTGATGGTAGTGGTGTAGAAAACAGATCTTAGAAAATGTTTTAGAATGTATCTAATTTTTATTTATTTATTTATTTTTTAGAAAACCATTTGAAGCCAGAAAACAATACATGGACCTGACCCTATATTTTAAAATCAATAATTTGCCTTGGGCTTTGAGTTTTTGTACAATTAATAATTAATTCCCAAAACATGATGAAGACAAGACACACTTGCTGTATAACTGGTTTGCATTAGACTATTGTATGGTGGAATATTGGAATATCGAGGGGAAAAAATTTTGAATTTTATTTTGCCCTAGAATTTTTTCCCAAAATATTTTATTTGATACAAAGATTGTATTACAGTACTGTGTAAAAAAAGAATTGCAATGCTGAAAAGCATTTTCAGTGACAATGTTGGGATTTGAAATCAAAATGGATAAATGTTGTGTTTGTGGTAAACAGCCACAGATCAGTAGCGGACTCCTGTGTGAAAGCACAGTCCGTGCTGCTTCCCCTCTCACAAGAGTCACCTAAGAGAGGAATTTTCAAAAATGAAATAAAGGCCCTGAATAAATGTCTAAAAATCCTGGTTGGAGTATCACTATAAATAGTTATAAATGATAAAAAGAAGGCTTTAAAAAGATCTGTATCGGTGGTCGGTATCAGCAGATACTGCTTTCTGCGATCGGTGATCGGCCTCAAAAATCCTGATCGGAGCACCCTTAATAAATATTAAAGCTTTTAACATCATTAAATGTACATACTGAGTGACTGATAACATCTTTGTTATGGAATACACTCGTTGGTTCGCAGTGAGTTCACAGTTTTAACGGACATCTTTGCTTTCATTTATTTTCAAGATCTGAGGTAAACTATCTGTTGCTGCTTTCAGTATGGCTATAAGGTCACACAAAATTATATTTAAACTCATATTAGACACATTTAAGTTTGAATAAAGCACAATCACCTGTTATTATCTACTGTTAGAAACCGTTTCTAAATTACAAATTTCGTGTGTTGCCGTTGTGGCTAGTTTGGACAAAAACTCTGATTAACATGGAAAAGATACCATTTATCGCGTGTCGCGGCGCGTGTAGTTAGGACACGGTGTTATAGTAAAAACACATGATCAGTAGTAAGATAGAAGTAAAACATGCTATAGAACAGAAAAGATGCACCTTTTAAAAGTGATCGTATTAGGCAAATACATGGCTGTATGCTTGATTTTATGACCCTGTGTCAACATACTTTTGGCTTTTAGTCTATTTTAGTACTAATACAGGTGAAATGCAATGAGAGTTGGGAGATGTGATGATATTTGTGATATTGTGATATTTAGGGAGGAGAAAATCAGTGATGGTTTCAGTTGTTTAATTAATGCAGTGTGACAAAGCTGCTCAGCCAGCGGCCAGAGAGCACTACTGTTAAACTACCCTCTACCCTCTCATGGCTTTACACAGCGAATATGACTCTATCATGCTCACACCAATTAATCTCACAACTTTCCTTGTAAGGAATAGGTGGAAAAAGCCTGTTTGCTTAACTCGACACACAGATCTGGTGTAAGATGGCTCTCTCTGGTCTGATTATAGTCTCGACTGCCTAAAAAGCCCACCTGATTTCACAACAGTGCTTATTACGTGACGGATTGTTTTTCTTGTTACTTGAGGTCTGCTTGTGTTGTACAAAGCCTCCATATTTTGTCAGCATCTAATCAGATCAGACAGTTTTGATATGTTCTCTCTGTTTGCTGTCCCACTCTTTTATTTCCAGTCTTCGGATGAGAGCGAAATCTTAATGATGTTTTCGCTCCATGGTGCCAGGTAAGTCTGTTTGTTCTGGGCCGAGCCAGAGTTTAACATCTCAAAGACAGAGAGTTTTTCTTTTTTTTTTGGTTAATCTTAAGTTGTAAACAAGTTTTCCTTTTAAAAGGATGCTGTGGAAATTATTAACAATATCATGTAGAATGACTACAGCTCTATTATTGTGTCCAGTCATTTTTATACTTGGCTAAATCTAATTTATTTATTTATTTTTTAAATAGATCACTGGTTCTCAACTGGCATGGTACAGCAAATATGACACATCTGTCATATCATTGGACACTTAAGAGTAAAAATATTTTGCTGTGAATTAGTGGCAAAATTTAGTGTTGAGATGTTTATTTTAAAAGTCCTCCGATATTAAATTTGTCAGGGCATTTCTTAATTGTTTAAAAATGATGTAAAATAAGAGTTCACCAGTTGACCTCAGGGAATGAAGCCGTGTTTCCTTTGACATGTCTCCTCAGTGGCCATTGCTGATATAGTTGAGAACTGGGACATGGTGCTGTGTTCCATAAGTAATGTGCATTACCATTCAATATGACAGCAGGCAGATATTCAAATGCCCTCTACAGCACAGACTTGAAATATCATTATAATAGAAGGATATTGAGTGAGTTTCGTTTTGAGCCCTACCTTCTTAAAAAATTCTTTAAGTTAATTAAGGTCTATTTTAGTCCGATGCAGCCTGTGTTTTGCTAAAAGAGTTACACCTAATGTTCCTTGGTAATTCAGTCAATTAGTTGTACTGTTGCGTGATATCAAACCGAGTTTGATTAGGTATGATTATGCTGCACTGAATAACTCGCTATAAGTGTTTCTCAATCTTTTAGTTACCAAGTATGAGAACTATTAAGTGTTTTTAGCACTTATATGCTAATAGTATTAAATTATCTGAAAAGATATTCATAAATAGCTGTGCTTTTAAACAATAGGCCTTTCAATTTGAAGTTTGTAAGGTAATTAACTGCCAAATTCTTCCAAATTCGGGTTTAGACTAACTCTTAGCCTCTTTTTATATTGAACAGGCTAGCTCCAGAGCCTCTTTTATTGGGGATACAACCCAGAGTAATATGATTGTACTTTATGGTAGCACATATTTTGCATTAGGTGGGCCAATTTTAAAGAATATTTTATACCTCTTTATTGTTATTTAAATTTGTATTAAATAATATTTACATTTATTATCAGATCTGGAAGTTTTTGACTGTTTCCAGGCAGTTTTTTAATTAATCTAATTTTGAAAAAAAAAAAAATCTAGGCTTTTTTTTTTTTTTGGTGTGGAAATGTGTAAGCAGCACAGGCAATCTTACGGTGGAAAAGGGGCGACTGTGCTGTCCTGGTCCTATTCTCTCTCTTTCCCTCAATAATTTTCTGCTCCTCTTTCACTCTTCTGTCTAATAAAGCGGCAAAAAAAAGTCCAAAAATAATAAAAGAGAAGGAAAGTGAGAAGTGTGTGTCAATTTTCCTTTCCTTTGACCTCAAAAACACTTCCACTATCTGTTAAAGTATATTTCAGTATATGTAATGCAGCGTTTGACGGCCTTCAGCAGCACCTTGCGTTAAGAAGCAGTCGAGGGGCCTCAAAGCGCAGTGAGATGCTGTATGTAACTTTGATGAAGTGAGCGCTGTGAGTAGTGGCTCCCTGTTCTCCTCTCATGAGCCAGTACCGCTGGCTAACTGCTCCATTATAGCTCATTGTGGTTTCGGAGCTGTGTTCTCGAGGACTAGCCTGTCATTAACGGAGGTAGTCGCCCCACTTCAAATCACTGCTCGGTTAAAAATAAATCCCCATCCCACCACTCCAACAGCGAAATCGTTTCAAACCGTCTATTATTTTTTGTCGTGAAATATTTTCCTTATTGACACTGCCTGACCTTGACAAAAACAGCCTGACTGCTCTGAGCAGAAATGTACTATTTTTCGGGCATTTTTCGCCGACGTCAGCTATTTGACGATAATTGGCGGGAGGGATGGGGATCACATGTGTTTTGTCTTGTCAGTCTGACCGTCCATTAAATCTTAAAATAGACGAAGAGACTTCAATTTTGCTGCACCAATTTTAAACAAAAAAGATAGAGCACATGTATAAATCATAATGGCAGACAGACCAATGAATACAGCCGTTTGCAACGGGTGAATGCTTTTTTCTGTTTAATTTCTATCTTCCATTTTCCGGTAACGGTGGGTTTGTTAAAATAGTACGTTTGAGTCAGACCCACGCTGATCTCGTGGGTCAATGCAAAGTCCTTGCCACATGTCATTTTTTCATTCGAGAGAGCGAGAGCCTCCTCTTTTCCTTTCAGGAAATGAGAGCACAATAGGGAGCTGTACATAGCACGCGGCTGGGGCCCTGTTTTGGGTTGCACACGCATGTGTGTGTAAATCAGAGACGGAGGGTGAGGGGGGTCA